TGACGCAACAATACTTTAAATATTTATTTTGATATTGCATATACAACGTACAACAAAACCGTTTTATAAAAATTTCTGCATTCGAACAATAAGATAATAATGATGTATGTAAAAACAAAATTATTATGTTTCAGAAATGTGTATAAATTAGTGATTTTTTTCTACAGTACGCGGATTCTTTCATATTGTGTCCTTCGAAGTGGATGCTCGTCAACTATGATTGTTGTGCCATGTGGTGAGTTACGTCACTTCCGTTATATCAGGTACTCGTAGAAAATAGTTATGTAAATATTCGTTTTCAAAACGGTAATTAATGTTTCATAACTTACTGTAAAATTAGATACAGTCAGTCCATGTTATAAGTTAGTTATTAACGGAATTATTAAATATGATTGTTAAAATGTTTTAATTAAACCAACAAAAGTAACCACGTTCCATACATGTGGGTATGTAGCCAGTGAGGGTCGGATGCGAAAGGCCCCATTTTTGAACCTCAACTGCACCTTGATGATCAAGGGAATATGAATTTAATGCTGAAAAGAAACAACTGTTGATAATGGCATTATAGTTTCTTCAGTCTAACATGATCCTTGCTCTTTCGGACGCATTGACTCGCGGATCCCAGTTTGAGAAACGCTGCGTTAGGACAGTTCTTGGGACTTTCTTTTGAGTTGACAAGAACTGATAGCTTTCAAAACGACAATTCCTTGAGTAGTTACAGTTAGTACATGGTGTAAAAATACACGTTCTAGTTTTACAGTTATGTGTTACTGCTCTGTTGAAGCTCGTTTCATCAGTTATTACTAACGTTCCACCACGTATTTGCCGCGGAAAAATTAGAAAAACTTATCCATTAGACTATTGCAAACATCTCAAATCTCATGGATTTTCAGCATTTCTCACGGCCTCGCTTGAATATGCTCTAAAATAACGGAAAATACACTAATTCGGCGCTTGGGAAAGCGGTAAGTTTACGAACCTACAATGCTACAGTCCGAGGTTCGATTCCCTGTGGAGGACACAGCAAATAGCCCCATGAGGCTTTGCTCTAAAACAAAACAAGAACAACACTTGGCGGCGCCATCTACTTTTAGAGATGAAACTAGTCTCGATTATTGAGACTACCATATGCATGGTGGAATAACCATTAATGAATTTTATAATGCTGCTGTTCTTGTATCTATATTTTGTATAGTTCAAAGAAAAAAATGACATATCTGTATGTTCCTAGATCTCTAAGTGTGCCCTACTTGTATTCCACCTTTGAAATATTTTTCAGGGAAGTACGTTCAAATAAACAGTAATATCTGAAAAGGAAAGCCACTCTTCTGCCTCAAAAAAGTTTTTGCTTGTTTGTTGTTAAGTAAAAAAATTCGCAATGAGTTCTCTGATTGTTGAAGTTATAAGCACTCATACTTATCACTAAGCCACCAAGGGGCTCCAAAAAGCATAAAATCTCACTGTCTCTTGCAAGTTTACGAGAGTTTACCTCACTAATTTCAGTATGTAAAAGTTCACAACTCTGCTATTGTGTACACAGCTAAGCAACAGTAACAGCAAGCAGAAATATTATTGGGACCCCAGACGTATTCAAGAGGGCCTCAACACATGTAGAAATAATATCTGTAAATTTTCCTGGACAAAGCAATATTTTCAGCGAGGAGTTTAGTTATAGCAATAAATATTATTATGCAACGTTGTTTATACTTCGGATTTTTTTTTCTTTTTAAATGAAATTACTCTGAAAGTAAGGTATCTATTTAACACTAGATGGAGTACCCGTCAGTTGGATGAGTGAAATAAAAAGTAGAAAATTGTGGTTCTATGTTTTTTTTCTTAACATGATAAACATCAAAAGTACAATACAAATATATAAATATGCCAATATTGAAATGAAAGACATACTGTTTTCAAGAATTCTATCAATATGAAATTAGATGGGGCCATCCTCATGTCATCCTGTATCAATATTCAAGTTGTCCTGATTTGGTAGTTTTTCCGAAATTAGATATGAAATTATATGGGGTCCATTCCCCTCCCCTTATGACCTTCCTCATGTCATCCTGTATCACTGTATCAAGTTTGGTGCTGATCGATCAAGAAATGTGGAAAAGTATAAGGAACATATATATATGTATATATATATACACTCACAAACACACAAATTGACGTTTATTTATATAGATTTTTTATGTCATTAGGCTTGTGTCCTCAACCAGGGTGTCTAAGGTCTTAGGGGCTTCAAGCTAAACAGTTTTATGATTGTTTATTTGTTTGTATTTCATAGCAAACCCATACTGGGCAAACTGCTATGTCTGCCTCAGGGAATCGAACTCCGGATTTTGGCGTTACAAGTCCATAGACTTACCGCTGTTACAACGGGGGTTTAGTTTTGAGAACCCCGATTCTAACTGATCAGGCCCAACTCGAAAGAACTTTTTTTCACATTTGGCTTAGAAATTCTACAAGGGAAAAAATTATTATTATTATTATTACCAATTTCGATTTCAGTAACCGTAACAAAAGTAAAGAAAACACGTTCTGGGGTTTACTTTAGGATAAAAGACCGTGAAGACATTGTTAAGCCTTGCTATATCACGCCTGCATATTTGAACGAAGACGTCCAAGAACAAACAGTCGATTACAGGGTACGTGTTACTTTTCTTATATTTATATAATGTTTAAGTCTCACTCCCAGTTTATTATTCTTTACTAAAACATTAAAATTTAAAAATTCTACTGCAATTTTGTATAACGTTCCCAAAATTTCTGTTTTTGACAGGGATGTTATATACGGACCTAACTTTGTTCAGATTGAAAATGTAAATTGCATAAATTCTGGATGTTTAAAACAACACGAGAGATGGTTACGCAATTTTAGTTATTCTGCTGCAGTCACGAACACAATGAATTTTAACAACTGTTTAAAGCTGGAAGTTATGTTTCAAAATACTTTCAATGTTAGATTATCTTTGGAATCAGGAGTTGTTAACGTTTTTCTTTTCATCAAAAACTAGAGTGTTTTTACAAATCTATGTCACATTAGAATGTTACCCGATACCTGGTAACATAAAATTTGCTTAAGCTATATCAAACCTAGTATTTGATGTACTTTAGCAAGGTCCCCGAAAGTGTTCTGTTTCAAGAGTAAATATAACCAAAATTAAGAGTAACAAATATTTTTAT